CCCTGGCCCTCTCCGGGCGGGCGACAACATGGTGCCGCCGGTGGCCCCGCCGTCCCCCATCAAGCCGGAGCCCGAGCCGGAGCTCATCGCGCGCTTCTCCTGAAATGGAGTGGTGCTTGAGTGGGTGTCCGCGCCACCGGTTTGGCTGGGAGCGACGCCGGCGCAGGAGCAGGCCTACCTCGAGATGTGGCGCCAGTGCCGGCTGGCAGAGGAGCGCCGTCAAGGCGAGTACGAGGAGATGCTCGAGCGCGACCTTGAGGAGGAGGCGCGCCAGGCCGCGACTGCACAGGCAGCCGCACAGCCCCCCGCCCCGGCACTGCCTGCACCGGCACAGCCCGACATGGCGGCGCTCTGGAACACGACGTCCGCCTGGGCCGGGCCGGCGCCGACGCTCATCGACCTCACGGACCCCGAGGACGACGACGACGCCTAGGGCAGCGCGCCGCCTCGTAGTTTAGACTGTTTTTATTTTTTTAATACAAATATGGACGCGTGGACTCTCACCGGCCTTCGTGACCGGCTTTAATGTTTAATTAATGTTGTCTCTCTTTTGTTAAATATGCATGTGTTCTTTTTTTGCGCCGTTAAAATAGGTCTCAGGTCAGTGTTGGGCGCAGGCATCGACCTAAATGCGGAAGCGGGCATCCGTGTCCGTCTGATCGACCCAAACGGACAAAAAGCGGACGAAATGGTCGTCCGTTTAGGTCAGCCCGTTGAAGTTGCTGTAAGGAATGTAAGATGTGACGAATTCTGTTTCTGCAAATCTCCTTTCGTGTATGTTGAGACATTCAGGTCAGTTGGGATAATGGCATACTGTACACCACAGGTTCGGATCACAACCACGTGTGGCAGTAGGCGAACACCGGCGTGATTAAATCCATCCATTTAGGGCAATTTCAACGCATTGACGCATTTCCTTCGTTTTCGTCCATTTTAATCCGTGTGGACAGAATGAAGATCCAACGAGCGGACGCAAACCCATTTTCATCCGTTTGCTGTCTATGTGGACGCAAATTCTTTCCAAATCAGCATACGGACGTGCCACGTGTCAGCTCGGTGTTCACCCGACCCCATTTGTAAGCCACTCAACTATCACACCAGCCAGATCAACCCAACCCTAGCCATTGTCGGCGCACACGATGTCATTGAAGTGCACGGCCACGTGGCTGGCTCCTCCTTAGAGCACCGCCGCACGACGGCCTTCACCGTGACGTCGTCATGGGTTGTGTTGCCGGAACACAACCACATCTACATGACAGTCCACCAGTGTCAGCACTATTGAGAGAACACCATTTCCGTGCCCTCGCCAGATGTGAGCCTGCCGCATGGCTGGTATTTGAACCCAGATAGGATTCCAGTGCCACCCGTGCTGCCCATAGATTGCGCGCGGGAGGCAGAGATCTGTCGCTGTCGCTCCCAGCTTCCGGCCGACCTTCGCGATGACCCGTCATTCGCAGTGGACTCCACGTATTGGGACACGTGGTTCACTCACGAGCACGACCAACGTCCCATGCATGCACACTCCATCACCACAGGTGGTTGTGAAGGATGGAGAGGAGGAGGCACTGAAGAAAGACATCAAAAACTCCCAGCTCGAGAAGCTCGCCATGTGGTCTGGCCTGCCACTGGCGCTGGCCGGATCGGCCGTAGTATAGGTCGCCACACCCTCGCCCCCCACCATCGCTCGCGCTCGAGCCGGAGCACGAGTCGTGGCCACTGGTGTTGCACTCAAGTAATTTAGTATTTTTCTTAAAATGTGAACACATTTTAAATCATAGTTTTTTTAAATTCATAAGTTAATTATATGGGCTTTTGTTAAATTTAGTACGGGGATATGTTTCGATGTTATATGAACATTTTTAATGTAAGTTATTTTATTTATATGTATATTATTTATAACACATCATTATAATTTACAAAACTCAAAATGCTTAAAACTAAAATGTTGAAATTGTCGGGACTGACTATAATTCAGTTTAGCCACACAATCATTTTGTGTTATTGTAAAAAAATCGAAAACACTAACGCTCACACATGTGGGTGTTTGACAACTCGCCCACACGCATAGATACCCGTCCAACCAATTCTGCACGAATCTTGACGCATTCTATTAGTTTTTATGTGCCACATAGGACTAAGCTGGTGTGTGGGCATTCATCCGGTCGTTCACATGTCCTTTTTCATGGGGGGCTGCTGTGTGGGCGTTTAACAATTCGCCCACACACCAGTTTTCACGCACGCAGAGGGGGCTGGTGTGTGGGCGTTTATCATTTCGCCCACACGCGCGTCTCCTCGCCCATACGTAAAGCTGGCAGTTGACATATGTTTCTGCAGGGTACATGGCAACTACCCTAGCTTTGTTTGTCAGCAGATGGCAACTCTTTTTTACCTGAGTTGCCATGTTTTTTTGCATAGTATATGGCAACTGCATTAGTGTGCATGTAAGCAGATAGCAACTCTTTCTCTTTACATGGCAACTGCCCTAGCGTGCTTGTGAGCACACGGTAACTCTCTCTTTTACCCGAACATATTTTTTTGCCATGCCTTTTTGTAGTGCTACACGGTAACTGCCTAGTGTTATTGGGTGGCAACTCCTAAAGTTTTGAAATCATAGCAACTACAGTAAACCAGACCATACATGGCAACTGCAGTTGAGCAACCATGACAACTGTAGTTGTCCGACATGGCAACCGAAGTTCAGCGACATGGCAACTACAGTTAAATGAACATGGACGAGGGTCTGGACCATGACAACTGGGGACGCGCGGTGACTATCACGCGGGGCGTGCGGGACCACGAGGTACGAGGTCTGACATACGGGGCGTGTGGGCATTATCTATTTCGCCCACACGCACGCGTGTGAGAGGGATCGAAAGGGGAAAAAAGAGATGTGTGGGCATTACTTGTTTTGCCCACACGTAGGTGTGTGGGCTGTTTCTTTTATACACCACACAAAATGTGTGGGCATGCCCTCTAACACCCACACGTATGGCACTTATCGGCGTCCAAAAAAATGATATGGATTTTTGTTAAATTAGTACATGATTGTGTTTTGATGTTATATGAACATTTTCAATGTAGCTTATTTTATTTATATGTATATTATTTATAACACGTGATTATACTTTACATAACTTTTACAAAATTTAAAAAATGCAAAAAGTTAGAAGGTTAAAAATTGTTACGTTGGCTGTAATTCAGTTTAGTTACATGATCGCGTTGTGTTATATTCATAAAGTGTAATTTACATCAAAATAAATTGCCTTGTCAGTTGTGGTGGAATGCCCGGGCACTTATTTACCCTCATGAGGTTCCTGGTTCGAATGATCGATCACGCACTGATTTTTTGGATTAAAATTGTTCAGTCGAAATATATAAAGGATATGTATCCTTAAGTGACAAGAAGTCTGCCTAGGTGATCTACTTTTTCATGAGAAAAAAAATATCAAGGGCTTTTCACAAAATAAACAGGCCGCACGCCCAGCCCAACTCTTTCTTTTGGCCACTGAAAGTGGCCTCCTCGTCATGCTTTTTTTTGTTTTTTTTTTGCGGAAACTTCGAGCTTTATTCAACTATTCTCTGTTCCCACACAATCAGCCAAAATGTTGGTCATGAGGAAGTCAGGGGGGGAGTCCATCCAGCAGTCGGTGATCCCCAAGGTGCAAGCATGTTTAGCACACAAGTGGGCCGACATATTGGAGTTTCTCGATACATGTTGAACATCAAAAGATAGAAAAGATAAGGCTAGCTCTTCTGTTTTAGTGCTTGAACACAGAAGTGGAGCTGGAGGAGTGGCACGGACTTCCTCGACCTTCATGGACGGCCTCCTCGTCATGCTGGAACGCCAAGGTAGAGCTGCAGCCGTATACATTACCGTATTTGCACCCTCAAGCCAAGTTCTTAAACCACTTATATTTATATCATAAGTTCTAGCACTAAAGTGACTTTTTGTGTCAAATTCTAGCACTAGTGGTGTAATTGACTCTAAACTTATATAGTCCGTGCACTGCTGAGTGAGCATGTCCTCAACACATAGGCATCTACACCCATTTTTCAAAAAATGCATTTTAAGCATGTTTTAAAATGTCAAAAAATTCAAAAAAAAAAAAATTCACGCATACATGTTTGTAAATGTGCATGCGGAACATAAAGTTTTATGAAAAAAATGTATTTTGTTTTGTTTTCATAAAAAAGACAAATTTCAGTGCTTCTAAATAGCGTTTTATGACACATTTTTTTGTCTTTCTTGCACAGGCCAAAAAATTTATTTTTCCGTGAAACTTTATGCACGCACATAGAACATGGAGACGTACGCGTTTGATTTTTTTTATATTATTTTAGCATTTAGAAATATGTTTTCGCATATAGAACGTGAAGACGTACGCGTGCAAGTTTTTTCATACTTTTTTAGCATTTAGAAATATGTTTTCCGAAGTGAGTTCATGTGTATCCAGGTTCATCCATGCATTTCACATCCGCTGCTCTTGATTTGTTCTTGAGCTATCGGTGTCGCGTGTTCGTGATCCCGTTGCGCCGCCATGTCCACCGGGGGCCAACAATGGAAGACCGCAGCTTTCCGGCAGAGGGAGGAGGTGGGCGCAACTATCCTCGGCGTCGTCGCCGGCACCTGCGAGGCGGTGACGGGCACCATCCGCGACATCTACGCCCAGGACACGGCGAACGTCTGACTCAAGGACCTCTATAGGTCAATCCTTCGACCGTCTCCTCCCTCCGTCCGGTCCTTCTAACATTCATGGCCAATGGCTTGACCTCTGCACTTGTGTTAAACTACAATATTCGTACAGATTTTGTACATGTTGACAGGTAGAAACTAGTGTATAATCTAAAACATACAAACATCAATTCCAAAGGCATGAGCACTGCATATATAGAACAAAATGGTACAGGGGAATTTGCTCCAACTTGGCTGCCACAGTCACTTCAGTTGGACACTTCGTCTTCCCGACTCTTATCCAGGCACATGCAAGTTCTTCTGAATTTTACTCGGGGGTTTGCTCGGGGCTCTTCTTCTGCTCCTTGATGTGCTTGGTGATGGCCTCAGCAATAGAGGCCACTGCTTCTGTGCTGACAAGGGAGGCATTCTTGGCATGCTCGGCATCAACCTCATACTCGACGGTCGATCTTATAACCGACGTGCCATCTTCCTTCCCAACGACCTCGAATCGCACCACATATTTCCGGAAGCCGAGATCCAGAAAGCCTCCCTCCACCGTTTCTGCCTCCTTGATGTACTTCTCATCGTCGACTACGTTGAACTTCTCCTTGTAGCTTCTTGGTTCGGAAGCTCCTAGCAAAATGAACCAGCGCAAGTAAGTACAAATAATCTGAAGCTGCGATTACATCTGCACCGTCCTGAAGCTGAGGTTTTGAGACACGGACCTGCAGGAGGGAAAGTGACGAGCAGGACTGTTCCGGCGCCGCCGTCTCCCTCTACAAGCTCGACCTTTGAGAGGACCTGTGGGAGCAACTGGGGGACTAGTTGCCCGAGAGCGAGGCTGCCATAGACCTCCCACACGTCAGCGGCCGGGAGGTCCGTCTCGAACTCGTGCCAGAGGCTCCCCCCTTCCATGGCTCTCTCGCGCTGCTGGAGTCCAAGAATGGTGTTCTGTAGACCACATGTACGGATTGCATCCATCCGGCAGTGACCGGTTCTATCCGTACACATGGCAAGATTGCATACAGACCACTCAAAGTTTTTTTTTCCAAAATGGAATCCCTTCTTTTCAAAATGATCTGCGCTGTTCGTGGCTATAACATTAACCAACATCATATAAAAAGTGTAGAAGTGTTTTCAAATATAAATCTCTACGAGAAGCGCTAGAATAAAGGAGGGTTTCTCATAAAAATCAAAAATATCCAGCCATCGCCGCATCATGCCCGTCTGCGTAGTCACACCGATGTTCATCTACTATGTCGTGTACGGCTATGTTGGTGGCCAGCAAATAGCCCTTTTTGTCTTTAGAAGATGGTTGACAATTTTCATTTCTTGATGGTTTTGTAAGATGGTGGACCGGCAGGAGCGTTTACACCGTGGTCCTTCGCGAGCGCGGGGAGGAGCTCTACTCCGCGGTGGAGGCCGCCATGGCCTCTGAGATGCAGGGCCTCGCGGGGTCCCTCACCGGCAACGGCGCTCGGTTGAGCTGGTTGCGGCGTGGTGCCGGTACACGGCTGCCATGTCTGTCATCCAGAACATGCTGATGTACATGGACCAGACGTTCGTCCCGGCCACCGGCAGGACGCCCGTCCACGCGCTGGGGCTTGGCCTGTGGCGCGACGGCGTGGTCCGCTCCGAGAAGGTCCGGCCGATGCTGGCCGAGGCGGTGAGGCATGAAAGCGGACGCGTGCAGGCGGCTGAGCCCGGCGCCGGCGTGACCGAGATGCTGACGGAGCTTGGCACCGAGGTGTGCCGCGAGTTCATGGAGGCGCCCCTCGTCTCTTCCTGACACGCCGAACTGTACTTGTACTTGTGCGGCTGTACCTTGTGGACTGCACTGCTCTCAGTGCTTGTAACCTCCTGTAAAAACTTTGCTCTTCTATCTTAATACAAAAAACGCGCAATGCTCTTGCGTGTGCTTGAAAAAAGAAAAAACTTGTGCGGCTGTACCTGTTTTCGAAGTATATCTGAACTTCATCCCAGTATTGCTTGCCTTTAAATGCTTTGGTGTTCTTATAATTAGAGGTGATCCGTCATTTTTTTTTTGTGGCTACTGTGGTAGTGCCAGAGGCACGTGACGGACATTGGTGTCAAATTCAGCGGTTTCTTCGATCTTTGATTGTACTAGATGACTCGTTGCGCCAATGGCGCAAAGGGCAAGAGCGGACTATGTTTTCAAACCTTGCAAATAAGAATATTTCAAGACCGATTATAAAATCCTTGAAGCACAAGGGAATAGATATTTGGGTACGATGTTCATACATGGGATTATATATTACATTGCATGTTAGGTCTATAGGCCAAAAGAAAGGCATGAGATCAGTTCATGATAAGCAAAGCTACATAGGCAGAGATGCACCATATAGATAGCTTTGGTCACTCAGCTTATAATAACTAAGATATGCAGTCGTTTACTTTAGGTAGAGTCACCGCCGCATATGTCATCAGCATCGAAAATGACCTCATTGTCTAAGCAGCTCTTCATGGTGGGTGGCAACAACAACATTGAAAAAAACCTACAATGTTCAGAACATAAGAAATAACTTAATTTTGACGCAAGTGTACTGTGTACAACAATACAAAAGAAGGGCCAAAACTCAAACATGAATACAGAAGTGTACAGCATAAGGAAGTATCAGACAGTACACTTAGTTTGCTACATTCTGCCTCCAACATATGACGGAGTAAACATAGGCTGTGCAAGTTTTCTGGGATTCTACAATATCTCATGGAAATACCAGCAGTTGATTAAAAAAACTGAGAAAAACATTGCTTTCGGCTGGCCAAAACTGTAGAGGATACAGTAACAGATTAACATGTACTACCTTCATTCCAAAATAGATGACCTAACTTTGTACTAACTTTATACTAAAGTTAGTATAAAGTTTGGTCATCTATTTTTGAATGGAGGGAGTATGACCATTTATCAATCGATTATTCGGGTGTTGGTTAGGAAGCATAGAAACAACAAGGACCGATAGCTTGACCAAAGAAGAAACTTCATTTCCTTATCAGAAGCAAAAACGTATAGCCTGATCTGGAAAATGCTATTAGCAGTATGATAGCATTTGACAGATCAGGCTATAGAAGAAAAAATGAAGTACCATCAGGCTGATGTCTAATGTCTAATTCTCATTGAACTAACAACAAGTGCATTTTACACTGCCCGCCCACTACTATTGTTGTCCATGCGGGTAGGACTTGTAAATAAACGTTTATCTACTGTTGTACCCTAACTTGAATTAGCTAGGATGAATCAGACAATTTCCATTAAAAGATCAACATGGTAGGCATTTGCATGAGACGATGGATCTCTTCTTGTTAACAAATAAACAAAGATCAATTTCAATCACAGACAATAACTATACTGCGATGCTAAGTAACTTTAATACTTCATAATGCCAAAAAGTGAGAGGGATGGAATGGTTTGCCCATGAGAGTTGGCCAAGCTACTACCAGTGTACCCTTTTCATTCTGTAAATCATATATGATTCCTTTAGTGTCTCTTTTCCCCCATCTACGATGCATTGGTTCTTACTCTACTTCCACTGCTTTTTCTCAGCCAAAGGAAAAAAGAAATTCACCCCTGCTTTGCTTTTTCTAAAGATGCATCGGTTCCTGAGTAAAGTTAACTCAGGCTTCTTATGGTCATAAAACATGAGTAATCATTTTGAAAAAGGATGCAATGCGACCTCAAAACTTACACTAATAATGTTTTTTAATATTTAGATTAATTGTGATGCAAAGTAGCTTTATAATACCAAGTTCATTAGGTTTTATAAATACTCCCTCCGTTCCTAAATACTCCAGCATTAAAGTGTGTGGAGAAGCTCTCTCTTCTCCTTTGTTTAATAACCATTCCTTGATGGATCAGTAAGAAAAAAATGTGAAGAAGCTTACAATAAAATAGGTTCGATTTCAGTGTGTGCACAAACAGGTCTAGTAAGTTGCTCTGGCATATACCAAACAGAGAGACGGAGACAGAGATGGAGAGTTGTTATTAGATGGAAATCTATATGAGAAAGAGAGAGCGTGAGCAACAAAGCTGAGTATCCCTTGCCGCGGCTTGATGTAGACTGAGGGGGGAGGTGAGGACCTAGGAGTCGGCGAGCTACTACTGGCCTTCTGATGCTTCCTAAAAAATGTTGTCTGGTGCATAGCAAGATTAAAACATTAGGCAGAAAACAACATTTGCTCTGCCTAGTGGAAAAATAAGTAAACATGACAGAATAAATCAGATCAAGATGCAGATGGTTAAGGCAAGATCATTTAGCAAAACTAAAATATTCATCAATCAAATGCTGACAACCATATGACACACCATCAAGGTACAAAATCGGGTCGTGGAGGAGCTCAACCAGAGTTTAGGCCGGTCGATCTGGTCGTATGGACGCTGGAAGTAGAGAGAGCATGCCTGCTCTTCTTCTTGCTCCCACCGGACCACATCAGAAGAGGGGTTAGAGCCAGCTGTGGCTGGGAGACGAAGGAGGCCAGTGGGAGTCAACGGCACCAGCGCCATGGCCAAGCCAACTGCTTGTGCAACTGAGGGGATAGTGCTAAACAAGGAGGCTGGCCAAGATATGCAAGTTTGAATACTACTGGTCCACCTTCACTTGATCCTAAAATCAGCTTCGGAGTGTGGATCCCAACAAAATCTGTTAACAACAGATATTCCCTGAATTTCTATGGATACCCAACAATGGCAAATACTCCCAATGGAAGAAAAAGCAGAGGCGGCCTATGCACTTGACGATCAGGGTGGCCTGTCCTTCTAGAGCTATCGGCGGTTCCTTCCTCTTGCCCATGGCCTCCCACAGTGGAGAAGGTGCCGATGACCGCATGACCTCGTCCGGATTGAGCTCATCCTCCGGCGTCTTCCTCAAATCTCTATATGCGCGCTATATTCGTCTCTGGTTTCTCGACGCAGTACTCTTCTGTGCCTACAAAATAACTATAGAACTGTAAAGTTCAAGTTAATTGCACATCAATTCTCTTTATATAAACAAACATTCATGGAGCCAATGTTTCAACAAAAGTGAAACTAAATTTCGGGCTGGTAGACTTTCCACAAACAAAGTCGGTGGAACAGTAGAATGCATTATTATCCTTTAATTAGTGGTAGATTTTGAGCCCGCGACAATCTCAGCCTTTGGAATTCCTAGCCTTGTCATCAGCAGATCCATTATTATCCCGACTGTAGTTTGGATATTCTGCAACTTCTACTAATATAAGAAGACAGTATCAGCTGAGGATTTAAACAACCAATGATGGTAGATATAGTAAGTAGGGTAAAGGAGATCACCAAGACATGGATGTCTCCAATATATATAAACACACTTGGTTTATACACGATTGGCTATTATGCATATATAGTATCACAGGTACGCAATCTATCTATTTACGATAATATACAAATGTGATATTTATTTACCAACTAAGCAAAATAGCTAGAGCATCAAGGTAAATCGTGTAAAGTATATGCAATAGTAATTTTCATATGGAATGTGCTATTTATTAACCAAGCTGATTATGTTGTCTTTACCTGGAAAAGGCGAGAAATTGTAAAATGGGTTAGTTATAGGATAGCCAGCATGGGTAATTGTTGGAGTTGGTTGTTAGTTGATAATGCAGAACCTAGTGAGTCTTGTTCATATAGTCATCCGGACATAGAAAGTTGAAGCAAGCATGGGAAAACTTATGGAAGCATCGATTCTAAAATTACAGAGCAAAGCTTGCTAGAGAATCAATCATTAACAAATGCTACATCAACCAAACAATCAAGAAATCAAAAGTTGCTCGAGCTAAGCCCCAAATCAGCAGCCTGCACACCTACCTTGCTCTAAATTCTACTCGTATTATCCTGGACAGGAAAATAACCTTAGACCAAGTACAATCTCTATGGTCATCACCAGATC